GCGGAGTCAGGGTTGCTCAGGGTGTCTCTCCGTGAAGAGTCCGATCCACCGAGGGATCGACTCACATCTGGGCCACAGCTGGCCCCTGTTAGCAGGAGTGTCCTCTGAAGGCTCCTGCGCCCTCTCGGACCCCCCTGGACGGGCTGTTCCTCCGCGCGGGGCTGCTCGGGGTGGGCTTTGCACCCTGTGCCGAGCAGCAGCCGTTTGTCCCACCGGGTCTCTCCAAACCCGGCTGCCTCAGCACCTCCTGCCAGAGCGCGGGGCACAGAGGTGTCTCTGCTAACAGCTCTCCCACCAAATGTTTCTGCAGCTGTTTCGAGGAACACTTTATATCCAGCCCCTGCCAAATGTGCTGGGTTGCTGGTAATAAAGCTGGTTGCTGGTGTAAATCCATTTCTCACCGGCGAGGGGGTCACAAATGACTTAAAAACAGAGTATTTACAACAAAAAAAGCACAGTCAGGCTTACGGTGGAGTGGCAAGGTGGCAAAGGCTCAGACAGTGGCTTCAGGATCTGGCCCCAGAGTGACACTTGCTAATGGCAATTAACTTCTGGGAGGGATTTAACAGGAATTCCCCTATTGCAGCTTCAAAGACACAGCCCAAACTGTCCAGTGATGCCGCCCAACAGCATCTCTTATAGCACCCTATAATCTCAGCTGGAGGGATGAGCATCCTACAGCACACCCAAGGTGGGGGGAGGGGCTGGGTCTTTCCACACTTTCCTTCACAGGGAACCTCTGTGCACAGGTAGGTCCTGCAAGAGACACACCAATAAGGAGACAGAGTGATGAAAACTGGCTCCCTTTGGGTTGGTCTTGGATTTGGGATCTCCCAACCCCCCTTCCTTCTTCCACCTTCCCCTCTGGCTTCATGCTGTGATGGGACATTGGGGAACACCTCTATCTGCCATCTGTGCTGTGCTCAGCACACCCCCTTCCCAAAGTGCTACCCCAGGGCACTGTACCCCAGCACACCCCGTTGTGCTGGTGGGGCTGCAGCTGGTGTGCAGTGCCTGGGCTGGCTCGGGATGCCTCGCTCGCCTCTCATTCCTGAGTGAGGCTCCCACAGCCCCTTGGCCACGATAAATGCTGTTTCTGGGCTCAGGCAGCTGATCCCTGCCTGCCAGGCAGAGCCCACCGCTGGAGCACCCCAGGGCTTACCCTCCATCACCCCTCGGCCACCCCCTCCATCCTGCACACCCAGCCCACGGCTCTGGGGCTCGAACGCCGATTCTTGCAAAGGGAGCAGTTTGCACGTAACTCCTCCGCCAGGCCTCGAAGCCCGCGGGCTGTACATCTCCTCGGGGCATTCACAAGTCATCCGGCGGCCGGGAGGGACCAGCAGGAGCTGGGCAGGGCGGTGTGGGATGCGTCAGAGCCGCTGCCGGCCAGCCGAGCCCGTGCGGAGGCAAAGGCAAACCTCTCCTCAGAAAGTCAGCGCGAAACTATTCGTGACTCTCACTTCTTTATAAACACAGGCAGTACCGGGCAGCCCCCAGTGACAGCAGCTCTTCCCACCCTGTGCCAGGCACGGTTCTCCTGCAGAGGCTGCCTGGGGCTCCCCCCGTGCCCTCCACTGCAGGCGAGCTGGGGAAACTGGCTGGCATTTAGTGGGGCTTCATGGGGAAGGGTGGATGAGATGGGGCTGAGCAAAGCTGAAAGATGCATCCTGCTCTCAGCTGGGAATCCTGCTGCCCTGGGGCCGGTGCTGGCCCTGCTGTTGTCACACCTGCTTCTGGATGATGCCATCTCCCTGCCCAGCCCAAAATATCCCCTTTGGCAAAGGGAGCTCCAGAACCAGGCTAGGCACTGCAACCCTTCTGCAGCCAGCAGTACTGGCTGGGAGGGGGAAGGGTGGGCTCCCAAACACCCTCCCACCAGCACTGGGTGGCTGGCTGACACTGGCAGGAGCAAGCTACAGAAAGCCTGTCCATGCTTTGGGCTCTCCTCCTCCAGGATCCAACCCCAGATGGGTGCCCCAGACCATCCGAGGCAGTTTTTAGCCAAGTCTGGTGCACAACCCTCAACTTCCCCAAGCCATGGTTTTCCCAGCCACCACTGGGTGGGTGCCATTTGCTGGCAGACTCATTTCAGCAGCTCTTAGCCCTGCCTTGGACTGACTACTACCCCTACCAGCCTCCCTGGTAAAGTATCAGCATCTCTGCTGAGGCCCCAGTTAGCACTAACGGCTTTGGGCTGTGGGTACCCACGAGGAAGGGCCAGCAGAGCATCACTCCCACACCCTGCAGAGGCCAGGTTGCTCAGGCACTTGTCACTGGGGTCTGGAGTTGGCAGTGGCACTGCCTGGTACTCAATTAACCAGCCAGGGAGAAGCCTTCATCACCCTTCTGCCCTCCTTCCACATAAGCCCAGTGAGGTGGCTTATTGTGATGGAGAAAATCCCTCCTGCCCTGCTCTGTGTGAGAACATGTGAAGGGTTTTGCAGAAAATTTAACACTGGATTTAAGGAACTTGCAGGGAGGCAATACCCTGCTTTGCAGCACAAAAATCCGTCTGCTCTTGGCCATCCCCTGTACCTGTCTGGTGGAGAGGAGGAGGGAAACAACCCTATGGAGGAGACACCACACAGAGGTCCCCACAGCCTGTCACCCCTGCCTCAGCCCAGGGCATGCCACCAACATGAACCACGTGTGCCTGGCCATCCCATGCATGTCCCCACTGCAGTGTCACACTCGTCCATCCCACGCTGTCACCTGCCTCCTGTGGCATCCTCACAGCCCAGTACCCCCTGGGGAAGAT